CTCGAGGCGATCTCCCCAGCAACCAAGATACCGACTCCTCCAGAGCTCTGCAAGGGCCCGTCGCCAGTGCTGAGGGCCTTCCCGAGAGACACCTGGTACCCATTCCTGCAGGCCCAACTCTGGGCCGAGATGATCTTGTCGGGGGACTTCAACCTTGTCTCCTGGAGCGTGACCACCTGGAACTTGCTTTGGACTAAACCCCAAGACTCCGCCCCAGATCCTCCAACGTCAGCTTGATCTCGGACCCAGTTCACTACAGTGTCCGCTGTCGACCAGCTGTTGACGTTGGCTCCAAAAATGCACAAGTCTGCAGATCCCCGCGCTACACCAGAGACACGATCGTCCGCAAGAAGATTACGCGCGGGAGGTACTTCCGCCCTCCCGTCGGATTTCAACCAATGTGTTTTCGAATCCGCATCTGGCTCAACTTGGGGACGAAGGAGGCCACGCACACTGCCAGCCAATCTCGCTTCAGCGTCTGGATGCTGCGCCAGCAAAACATCCTGCCCCCCCTCCCCACGCGCTGAGACCCCCGCCTCCTGTGGAAGGGGTGCCCTGGGGGAGGGAAGGGCAGGCGGCGACGACTGTTGCGTCCTAACGCCACGCGAAGAACCAGCCGTCGCCGCCGTAGCCGTCTGCGTCGACGCGCATGCCATCCACGAAGAAGGTCTGGCCTCACAGCTAGGAGAAGCCCCCAACCCCGAGGAGCGGGCCAGTTGGGGCGGTAGCCTCTGCGCTGCACTTGTCCCCAACCCCGAGGAGCGGGCCAGTTGGGGAGTATGTTCCTGCGCTGCACTTGCCCCCAACCCCGAGGAGCGGGCCAGTTGGGGGATCATCGAGGATGCCGAAGTCGCCGTGCTCGAACTGGTAGCCATCGACGATGCGGGCAAGGGAGTGTGACTTCGAGGGGCTGAATCCCTCCCTCCCTTGCCCAAGCGATACGCCGACGTACTCCTCGCCAAAGCGGAACCGAGCACGGGCCAATCCTTTTCGTCCAACTCCATCAAAGTTCCGTCACGCTGGCGAAACTGCATCGAGTCGAACAGCAGGTCGTCGCGCATGACTGGCACAGCGAAGCCCGTGGCCTGCTCCCAGTCGTGGTCCAGGATGTTGCACTTCAGGAAGGCATTCAAGCTGGACTGCTCCTTCGCACCACTGACTGGAGGAGGGCCTTCCACTCCAGCGTCCAGCTCAGGAGCACGACCGAGCCCGCTTGACCCCAATGGCCTCCGCAGCCTCGAGGTACTTGCGCTTGGCGGCGTCGAGCTGCTCCTGACTTCCTCCTTTGGCCTCCTTGAGCTGCTGGGCGGCCTTGTCAAAAGCTGCCCTGCGCTCATCGAAGTCTTCTCCATCCAACAAGTCCATGTCGATGTCGTCGCCGTCGCCTTCTGTGGCTGCAATGTGCTCGCCGCTGCCCGCCCCGCCTGTAGCTGTACCAGGAGGAGCACTTGCAGCATCAGGCCCGCTGGCCACTGCCCTCTTGGCCTGAGCCTCGGCCTGCAGGCGCTGGAGGGTGGCCAATGCAGCTTTTCCTTCATCAGACTGGGCGACGGTCTCGTCCAGGGTGGCCGTGACTGCTCTGAGTGGATCTCCATCTGCTTGGACGCGGAAGAGCGCCTGCTCAGCCTGTCCGAGGTCCTCTTTGAGCTTGTCGACGCTCTTGTCCAGCTCAGCGATCTCGGCCTGAAGATCCTCCTGTTGCTTGCGCAACGCCGCCGCACGCACCTCCGCCTTGGAGAGCTTGGTGCGGAGGTTCTCGACCTTCCAGTGCGCGGCCCTGGACGTGGGCTGCTTGACTGCCGTAGCCTGCTTCTTTGCCTGTTCTGCTTCTTCGACCTTCGCCGTGTCAACGCCCTCATCCTTGAGGAACTGCAGCACATCAGCGAAAGAGAGCTTGGCGGACGCTTCGCCCGTCGTGCCCCGCTGCGGCGAAGGGGAGCTGGACTGCCATGGCGGCCGAGCTGGGGGCTGCTTTCCCGCCAACTGTGCGACCTCTGCCCTGAGCTCCTGGATGAGGCGCATCTGCTCCTTGTTGCTGGGTCCGATCGGCGGCGGCCCTTGAGCCCAGGCACCACGAGGCCCGCGAACCGATCCTGACTTGAGTGCCGCTGATGCCTTACGAGCTGCCTGGACGACTCGCACTGGGGCATCCTTGCCGCAGCCTCTGCATATGACCCTGGACGCCCAATTGTCCGGGCACCCGCAGCTGCAACTCCACAGGGGAGTCTTGGCTCCAGGCAAGACATCGGGCGGGTTTGGCACCATCCGCCACTGCTGGACTCTGCAGCAGGAGGCGCCGTGCGCTTGTGAAGTGGCCCGTGTTCACGAGCCGCTTCGAAGTACGTGAACACAAGCACGGGCCCCTGAAAGAGCTCGTGCCGAAACGGCTGAGAGGAGGAGGAGGAGGAGGAGGAGGAGGAGGAGGAGGAGGAGGAGGAGGGAGGAGGAGGAGGAGGAGGAGGGGAGGAGGAGGAGGAGGAGGAGGAGGAGGAGGAGGAGGAGGAGGAGGAGGAGGAGGAGGAGCGGGAGGAGGAGGAGGCGGAGGAGGAGGAGGAGGAGGAGGAGGAGGGGGAGGAGGAGAAGGGGGAGGAGAAGGAGGAGGAGGAGGAGGAGGAGGAGGAGGGGGGGAGGAGAAGGAGGAGGAGGAGGAGGAGGAGGAGGAGGAGGAGGAGGAGGAGGGGGGGGGGCTGTCGATGGGCACCATCCTGCTCTTCGAGATTATTTGAAGGGGCCCTGGGGCACACGAACAAACAGTCACAAATCACCGGATTCCCCAGTAGTTTCCCGTATTTCCTGGGTGTTGGTCTTCCCCCCCACTTCCCATACTTTCCGCATCTTGCTACGCATCCTTTACAACAGAGGGTCTCGCCTGAGCGGCATGCTCAACGGGCACTCGCCAAACCACTTGTGCGGTCGTCCGAGGAGGGGCTTGGGACGGGAGGGTGGATTGCAGCAGTGTTGATGTATCCTGGGTTTAATCTGGTGCTCCCCATCAGCATGATCATGACCATACCCAACACCATCATCACCACCATCCACCATCACAATTATTAGTATGCAAACCACCATCTGGTTCGCCATCGGAATCAGAATCATCATCCTCACCGTCATCAGCATGGTCGCAATCATCATCATCATCATCATCATCATCATCATCATCATCATCATCATCATCATCATCATCATCAGCAGCACCATCATCAGCATCAACAGCATCATCATCATCAGCAGCAGCAGCATCATCGTCATCAACCTCAACATCAGCATCATAATGATCACCATCATCCTCGCTCGCATACTCATTACATTACTCATTACTCCTTCCTCATTACTCACTACTCGTTATTCATTGTTCAGCACCCAATACTCAATAGCCGTTACTCACATTACTCACTACTCGATACTCAATGCTCAGAACTCACGACTCCTGACTCAGTATTCAATAACCCTTTCTCCTTACCAAATACTCAGTACGCATGACACAGATCTGTTTGCTCATGTCTCATACCCATACACATGCACATAATCATAGACATGCTCAGGCTCAGACTCGTACGCATAGCCATGCGCCTACCCATACCCATACCCCTACCCATATCCACACCCACACTCACACGCATACGAACACTCAATCATCATACGCATACTCATACGTATACTCATTCTCATACTCCATCAAGTTCCTCCTCCGCCTCATCATTCTCCCCCTCCTCCTCCTCCCCCTCCTCCTCCTCCTCCTCCTCCTCCTCCTCCTCCTCCTCCTCCCCCTCCTCCTATTCCTCCTCCTGCTCCTCCTCCTCCGCCTCCTCTGCCTCCTCCTCCTCCTCATCCTCCTCCTCCTCACATCTCCCTCTCCCTCTGTTCCGCTCGCTCCTTCTCTCTCCCTCCCTCTCTCTCTCATCCTACGTTGCCCTTCGCCCCTCACCCGTCCCCGCCCGTCCTCCACTGCCCCTATCGTCTCCCCCCACCCTGCCCCGTTTACAATTAAACACTGTGAATACTACTCTCTTCTCTCCCCATAGTGGCGTCTGGGGACTGTTCGGCCCCCCTCCGCGTACTGGCTTCTGACACGCAGGATTCCCGGGAGTTGGAACTTCGCTGGGCTTTGGTTCCAAAATGCTGGTCTCGCTGAAGCGCTGGCCTCATGATCGGAATACCGCTCGTTCCGAATCGTGCTCCCGCTGCAACGGTGGCCTCATTTCCGTGCTTCCGCTCGTTCTGAATCGTGCTCCCGCTGCAGCGCTGGCGTCATTATTTCCAGCTCCATGCCACGGCATGGGTTTGGTCCTTCCAAATGGCCTCGAAATTTAGAAATGCCCACCCAACAAAAAAAACATCGAAACTGATTCCACATTCGGTGCCGATTCGTTGGTTTTCTGGGCCGCAGAAGCCCCCAACTTTGGGCCGTCGCAACGCAGTGCTACGTCAGGCTACGCGTCCTCTTTTCCGCGCTTCCGCGCTTGGGTTGTTGTTCAAAATGCTGCTCTCGCTGAATCGCTGGCCTCATGTTCGGGCTACCGCTCGTTCCGGATCGCGCTCCCGCTTCAACGCTGGCCTGATTTCAGCGCTTCCGCTCGTTCCGAATCGTGCTCCCGCTGCAGCGCTGGCGTCATTATTTCCAGTGTCATGCCACGGCATGGATCTCGGTCCTTTCAAATAGGCCCCAAAATCTGAACAATGGCCTGCCGAAGAAACCATCGAAAGTGATTCCACATTTGGTGTCGATTCGTTGATGTCTGGTGCCGCGGAAGCCCCGCTTTGGGGCGTCGCCACGCCATGCTATGTCATGCTAAGCGTTAGTCTTCAGCACCAAGCTATGCCATGTAATGCTGTGCCATGCTGCGACATCCGATTGTGCGAGCAGACAGGAGATCTACGCCATGGGCAGGGATGGGAGGGAGGGGTGGGACGTCAGATATGACGCGAGCGCGCCTAGCTTGCCCCCCCCCGCCCCTCCACCTCTTCCACCACCAATTGGCCGCGCGCCGCGCAGGCGCAGCCTGGCGGGCTCTCAGGTCCCGCTCGTTGCCGTTGAAGATGTCCGCGGCCATCTTCGCCTGGCGCCGGGATTGGGGGCAGGAGGGAGGAGCGGGGGGAAGGGCGCCTGATGCATGGTATCCAGGAGAAGGGAGAGGAGGAGAAGGAGGAGGAGGAGGAGGAGGAGGAGTGGGAGAGGGAGGAGGAGGAGGAGGAGGAGGAGGAGGAGGAGGAGGAGGAGGAGAGGAGGAGGGAAGGGGGAGGAGGAGGAGGGGAGGGAGGGGAGGAGCCTGGCCGGGCGAGCCCCGCACTCTGGTGATCGCAGCAGTCTGGGAGGGAGGAGGGAAGAGGGAGAAGGGAGAAGACGGGGGGAGGAGGAAGGAGCGAGGAGGAGGAGGAGGAGGAGGAGGAGGAGGAAGGAGCGAGGAGGAGGAGGAGGGAAGAAGGAGGGAGGAAGGAGGGAGGAGGGAGGAGAGAGGAGGGAAGTAGGGAGGAGAGAGGGAAGAGAGGAACAAGGAGGAGGTAGAGGGAAGGCGGGAAAAAGGGAGGAGGAGGAGGCGGGAGGAAGGAGGAGGAGGAAAAAGGATCTAGGATTGAGGAAGGAGGCGACGGCGACAACACGAAGGAGAACGAGGAGGGGAAGAAGGCAAAGCAGCGAAGAGGCAGGATGGAGGTGAGAGGAAGTGGAAGGACGACGACGACGACGGAAACAGAAGACCAGAAGGTCGGGAAGGGAGGGGCATCACGAGGAGGTCAATAGGGATACAAAAAAGAGGAAGGTCAACACCGACGCCGACGCCGACGACGACGACGACGACGACGACGACGACGACGACGACGACGACGACGGCGGCGGCGAAAACGACTACACGACTACGACGAAGACGACGACAACGACGACGACGATGACGCACCGCTGGGCTCCGAGAACCTCCGCAAACCCCCGAAAACGACCGAAGACTCTCGAAAACCGCCGGGGATCGCCGACGACGAGGGCTACGCCGACTAACGCCAGAAACGCAGGCGGTTCCTCCCCCCTCCCCCCCTGCGCGTGGCGCGGCGGCACGCGAGCCAGGTCGGGTGCTGCTGCAGCCAGCCTTGATTGGACAGGACACGCGAGATGAGGCACGGGTCGCGAGGCACAGGACACAAGGGCACCCAAGGGTACTCCAGATCTCGTAATTACAGGGAGGGGGTCTCGACCCGCCCAGGCGAGAAGTTTCAGGCCCTCCCGGACCATCCATGAAAGGACGGCCCTCTGCCCAGACCCCCCCGAACCCTCCAGGACAGCTCAAGTCAGACCCCCCCCAAATGTGACCCCCCGACTTTACTATGGAATCCGGAGTACCCTTGATTTGGCAGGGTCGACCTACTAATCAGGGCCGACTGCAGAGGTGCCCCCTGGCCCAAGACTCGGCGGCGCGCCCGGGGAGGGAAGCGAGACGGGGGCGGGCCTTCTCAGAAGGCTCGGACGGCCACCGGCTGTCTGAAAAGCTGATCACGCCTCCCCCGAAGACACGTGACTGTTGTTCACACGAGGCTGAGAAGCCCCGCCGCCTTCTGAGAAGGCCTCCTCCTTCTCGCCTCCCCCGTCGCTCGCCGCCAGAAGGTGCCCCAGGATTCCCAAGGAAGCCCTCGCGGCCTCGAGAGCACCCCTCACGAGGCCCAGAGTCCCTCCAGAATTTGGAGCGAAAAGCTGGGGGAGCCTTGGGCCAGGGGGTACTTTTAGCAACTCCACGACGGACCCCTAGACCCAACGACAGCCCACCGCGGCTGCCCCCGCGACGGTTCCCACAACGGCCCCGCCACGATGGCGACTACGACCACGACGGAGCCCCCCTTCCCTGCGACGCCGACCCCAGCAACCGCCAGGACGGGCACGGAACAGACCCACAGAAGGCCAAACCAACGCCCCTCCCGAAGCCATTCCCGAAGCTTTCCCCGACGCCCAAAGCGACGCCACTTCCCACTCCTTGCCCGATCCAGCGCCCGACTCGCACCCCGCGCTCGACCCCCTACTGTGACTACCTCGGCTACTCGGACATCGCTTCCCTCACGGACAGCCGGACGGCCCGCTGGACGGGCGACTGGACCGCCGACCACACGGCCCCTCGCCCCCCGACTCCGCGCCCGACGGCCTCCACGACGACCCTCTGCTCAACCCGACGACTCTTGCGACCCTCCACCCTGGGACCCTTCACCCGACCCGACGGCTCCCACGGCACACCACCACGACGGCCTCCCACGACGGCCCCCGCGAACGCCTGCCCCCACCCCCCACGACGACCCCACGCCCCCCCCACGACGGCCACCGCGACGGCCGCGCCCCGAGTGGTCGCGTGCCCTGAGAAGGAGCCCGCGGGGGGCATACCCAGGGAGGCGGCCGTGGGGGCGGCTGGCCAGCCCGTAGACTGCGCCGCTGGCCGCTGGGGGCATGCCCAGGGAAGCGGCCACGGGGACAGCCGCAGACACTCTGGGCCCACCTGCCCGAGCCCCCCCCGACGGCCCCACCACCCCCCCACCAAACCTGAGAACTCCCACGACCCACCACCAGGACGGCCTCCCACAACGGCCACTGCGCGACTGATCCCGCGACAACCCCCCCCCGACGGTCCCGACGACGGCCCCCGCGACGGACCCTGCCACGACCCCCTGAGGCTGCCTCCGCGACGCCTCCCACGACGGCCTCGCCCCGAAGGCGACGACGACTTCGGCCACGACGAGACCCCGCACCCCTGCGACGCCGACGCCGGCGACCGCCAAGACAGGCGCGAGGACAGACCGACGGACGAACTTGCCGACGCCCCTCCCGACGCCGTCCCCGACGCCCCCCGCGACGCCCAGACCAATGCCCCACCCCGCCCCCTGCCCAACGCCTCGCCCAACGCACGCCCCGCGACTTGCCTCTTGCTGGGACTAGCCCAGCTTCGCGGACAGCGCTTCCCTCACGGACGGCTGGGCGGACGACCAGACAGTGACAATCGGCCCCGCGACCTCCCGCCCGGCTACCGCCAGGCAAGCACCCCAGGACGGCCCACCGGGAGGGCCGCCCAGGACGGCCCCCCACGACGGCATCTGGACGACGACCCTCACGACGGCGGCCCCCGCGACGGACCCCCGAGACGACCTCCACGACAACCCCCGCGACGGCGACCGTCAAGACGGGCGCGAGGACGGCCGCGGCCACCACGACTGCCGCCACGACAATCCCCACGACGCCCCCCGCGACGGCCTCCTCGCCGACAGCCCAAGCGACGGCGCTGCCGACACTCCCCACGAGCACAACCACGAAGATGGCACCGTCCCCTCAGAGGGAACAAGTCCCGAGGAGGACGAAGACGTGACCTCGAACGACTCCGACGCATAGAATCCACTCCTTGCCGAAGGGCGGCAGAGACGGCGGCAGCTCTACTGAAAATCATCATCTCCCCCCACGACCCCTCTCCCCACGACGCCCTCCCTTCCCCCGACGCCCCCACCAACGCTACAACGCTTTGCCACGATCCCCAACGTTACCACGCCCCACGGCCCCTCTCCCGACGGCCCCCACGAAGGCCGCGGCCACCGCGACGGTTTCGAAGACAATCTTCCTACCAGCGCCCAATAAGCGATCAGCCACGAGGCCAATTGCCACCGTGGCAACTACAAGCAGGGTCGGCACCACCACCCACCGACCACCAGAGCGCGCCCACATCCACCGCAAGCACAGCGTCCACCAGACCTCCAGCGAGGAGCTCGAGGGCCCGAGAGGCCAAAAGAGGCGGCGCACCGTGCCGCCGTGAAGGATGGAGAGGGGGGGGGGCACCAGGCACCCTTGGAGGAGCTAAGCGGCGCGCACCGCGCCCGACGCCAGGGGCAACCCCGGGCACGGGAAGGCCCACTCTGCCCCCCCTTCTGTTCCCCCTCCCCATGAAGTCCAGCCACCCTCTTCCCCCCCTCCCGCCGTGCTGCTCCTTTGCGCATCGGCTCGGGCCCCCGTCGGTCCTCCCCGGTTCTGCCCCTCGCCTTCCTGCCTTCGTCTGCCCCCGCGCCGCAGGGCGCCACAGCTCTTATGGATATACTAGATATTTCAACCCCCCCAGAGGCAACGGCCCCTGGGGGGGAGAGGCGAAATCCAACGGATCCCCTTTGCCATCAGGTCTCAGGTCTCCAGAGGGAGGAGGCCAAGCAGCGCACGACTCGGACGAGTACGCCGACGAAGACGCCGACGACGACGCCGACGACGCCGACGACGACGGCGCCGATGCCGCCGAGCCGACGTCGACGCGGCCTGCGACGGCGACGACGCCGACAGCAGTGACGACGGCGGCTGCGGCAGGGGCCGCCGCCGCCGCGGCGGCGGAGCACACGCCGTGGGCGGCTGTGGGAAGGCGGGGGGGGGCGCCTTCTGCTGCTCCGCGCCGGCGGCGAGGAACTGCTGCTTGGCGGCGATTTCCTTGAGCTCCTGGCCGCGGCGCGGGGGCTGCTCGTCCCCCCTTCCTCCTCCTCTTCCTTTTCCTCCCTCTCCTCCTCCTCCTCCTCCTCCTTCTCCTCCATTCCTGGCCCTTATAAATAACTCCTCCCTGTCGCACCAGCAGGCCGGTCGACAGGGCGGACCGTGCGATTCGCTTGGGACTTCTTTACCACGCATGACCCTGCAGCTAAGAAATTGGCAACAATTTCACAAATGGAGGGCGGATCGGTTCCAAAATGTCGTTTTCGCTTTAGCTCCGCGCGCATTCGTTTGACTGATTTGCAAGAGTTTCATTGGTTTTTGGCGGGCCAGATTCAAAATATCGTTCTCGCCTTAGCGCGGCGCACACTCTGAACAATTTGCAAGGAGCTTCACGGAGTAAGGGCGGGCAATTTTCAACATGTGGCTCTCGCCTTAGCGCCTCTCACATGTTTTTGCATTATTTGCGCGAACTTCACTGATTGAGGGCAATTGGTTTTCAACATGTGGCTCCCGCCTTAGCGCCGCGCGCATTCGTTTCAAAAATTGCAAGAAATCCGCGGAATCCCATGGTCAACGTACAAGAAGCCGTGATCCGGAAGGACTCATGATTGTGAGGGCGCAACAGTTACGTTGATTTGCGGAGTTGAAGTCCCAGGGATAGCGTTCTGGTGCAACTCCGGATCGTCAAGATGCAATGGTGCTTCGGCATGTTTCAGGGTGTTCAAACGGTTGTCTCACAGCGAGCCGCCGCGGAAATGAACCCTTGCGGGGGCCTATGAAGAGGGAGCTTGGAGGGAGGGTTGATTCCAACATCGTTGATGAGTCTGGGGCTTGCGGTGGTCCTCCTCTTCCTGGCGCGTAGCCGAGGCAGACACGGGTTCAGCTTCACGACGCCTGGGCGGGATTGCGCCACAGCTCGGCCCGCACCTGTGGCAAGACTGTCCTTCCTCCCCCCCCTCCTCCTCCTCCTCCTCCTCCTCCTCCCTCCCCTCCTCCTCCTCCTCCTCCTCCCCTCCTCCTCCTCCTCCCCCTCTCCTCCTCCTCCTCGCTCATCCTCCTCCTCCTCCTCCTCCTCCTCCTCCTCCTCCTCCTCCTCCTCCTCCTCCTCCTCCTCCTCCTCCTCCTCCTCCTGCGACACAGATTGCCAACAACGGGGGGTCAGTGAGCCTGCCCCCTACCGCTGTACACAGCTCGAGGTCAGCTCACCTCCGAGCTCTCAGGAACCAGGGGACCAAGCTGAACAGCAATCCAGCGGCCCCGAAAGAGCAATCTCCCCTGATCAAGGCCATTGAGGACCCTCCTGCCCCAGGCCGAGGGATGCCCACAGACCTGGCCCAGCTTGACCACCTGCGACGAGCAGATGGCGCCACAACTAACACAAACGACACCGCCCGAATTCACGCCACGCTCCTCGCTGACCCACCTCCTCAGAGCGTGCCCCCCAGCGAGAAAGACACGACGGGGGGGAGCACGCGGAGGTGGGGCGAGGGCGGCGGCGGCAGCGGTGGCGGCGGCGGCCAGCTCGCTGGCCTGGCGCCGCGCGGCGCGAGCCGCCTTGATCTGGGACGCCGCGAGGCGCTCGGTGTCGGTGGACGCGAGGGGGGCGGCCCTGCCTACCTGCTCCCCCACCGCACGCACAAGCCTCGAAAACTTCCGACACCGATCGCGAAGCTCGAAATCCAAGCGCCTCAGGCTCGTTATCCTTTTCGCCCACTCGTCGGCAAATCGATTGCCGGCGAGAAGACGTGGGTCGATGGCACGGCGTTGCTCTGGGGTGGGGTGGGCCTTGACTTTGACAAACGTGACCGAATCGGGCCCCACCCCACCCCAGTCCTCTAACTTTGTCCAGAGAAGCTCCCAGACATCTGCATGGGCGGAGAGCAAATCACAGCATGCCTCCCGCCCACGCTTGACAACACCAGAGAAAACAAAATCACTATCAGTATGGATGGTGACGGGCGGCATGGCAGCTCTGAGAGTGTGCAACACCGCCACCAACTCAGCACGGTCAATGCACTGAATTGGGCCCTCGACTCCGCCTCCGAAGACAACCGAAACACGAAAGTCATCGAGAGCCCTCGGAGGGGGAGGATCTGGATGCATGGCAATGACAGCCCAACCAGCGACGGCAGCATTGGGCACATCGTGATCATACATGGATCCATCTACGAACAAATCCCCAGTGAGCGAGCTTCGCTCACCAAGGTAGAACTGTTCTGGCGCGGGCTCTGGCCGCTGCGGGAACCTGTCAAAAGGAAGAAGCACACGGCTGCCAAGCAGCAACACAAGCTCGGTGGGTTCCTGCGGCAATACACGACAGAGAGGGCCCGCGGGCTGCAAGCTGGCAGAGACCAACCCATCACACAACAGATGTCGGTGGTACAACGTGCCAGGGAAATCATGACAGATGCGGCAAAGCGGGGACTGCACGTATTTGGCCTCAAACATGCGCTGCTGCGTCCACTGGGCACCGATGACAACGGATCGAAGATAGGCCTTTTCCTCAGGCGACAACGGCGAAGAGCGACCGAGCAGACTGAGGACTGGCTCGAGCAAGATGCCTGACTTGAGCTCAGGGCAGCCAAGCGTGGTGCTGATCTGCCTCCACTGCCAGGCCTCACAGGCCAGGTCAATGAGCTTCCTAAGCCCATGGACGCAAAGGGTGGCCGGCTGTATAGTGAGGCCCCAGGGAAAGGTCCAAGAACTAAAACCATCAGCCTGAATTCTCAACCGATCGAGCGTGGCCAAGTAGGCCGTGAAGGGCCCCGCAACAGACTGCCACGGATTGCCTTTGCTGGATCGAGCACGCTGCTGGGCTCGCCGAATTCCTTGAGTTATTATGTGCTGGGGTACCCACTGCTGCTTCCACGCTGCCAACATGGCGCAAAGCGGGTCGGCGGAAGCCTTGAAAATAGGGTCTACCCGACTGCCAGGGGTGAGCAGGAGGCGGAGCGTGAGGGAGGCGGAGCTGGTGGGACCTTGACTGCCTACCAGCTGCCTAAGCCTCTGGAGCTCTTGCCCATTGGTCCCAGTGATGCTAGTGCCGTAGGAAACGCTGGTTTCCACGGTGGCTTTGACCATGCGAGCGACGAGTCGGCGACGTTTCGCTTTTTGCAAAATCTTCAACGCCTAGAGCGGACGACAGCAGCAGCCAAACGCTCTCGCGTAGTGGTGCGACCCAACCTCCGCCCAGACCCAAAGTCAACACCCAAGTTCCTCTCAGAGCGAGAGCGCTGCCCTCCTAGGCATTTAAGGCTGGCCTCTAAAGACGTCCTGAGAGGGGCTACACTGCTCATGAAACGCGTCTTATCCTTCGCCACCAACAGCTCAACTTTTTCTAACTGACGGGCCAATTCACTTCCTGCTGCAGTGAGGTCTGCATGGACGCGCTCCTCTTCACCGAAGCGCTGCAGACCTATGTCATCGACAACTGTAGAGAGCGAAACCGCACGAGCAACTTTGCGCACCTCATCTAGGGGCTGTAGCAAGACGAGCTGCAGCATCATTGTTGCGAACACGCAGCCTGGCAGGACACTCTGCTCTGAAAGAATGGGCTCCGACACAAAAATGCCCATGTCTAAAATCCGCGGCTGACGATACAGCTTGATAAGGAGGTATAGTAGTCTCATCGGGATCCCAGTGTGCTCCGCGGCGGCCACGAGTTGACGGTGCCGAATGAGCTCAAAGGCCTTTTTGAGGTCGACCAAAACCGTCCCAGGAGCCATCCCTTGGCCATGAGCCCACTCGGCCCACGCAGCCTGCACCCAGATGCACTTGTATGCGGCCTTGCCGCGGGTCCCCCAAGAGAAACTTCTAAAAATTCTTCTCTGCCAATCCTGAATCTCAGACTTCCGTAAGCGACACAAGACCCTCGCAAGCACAGGCAGGAGAGCAATCGGCCGAAACCCACCCAGGCGTTTGGCCAGGAAGAAAACTTTGACCCACGCGGTGGGCCAGTCCAGCCTCAGCTCAATCAAATGCAAAAGCTCACAGAGCGCGTCCAGGCCCTCGAGGCCCAGGTGCAGAAAGTGCCGCGGGTTCACACAATCATAGCCCTGGCCCGTGGTGGGCTTGTAACTTTTTAGGACTGCAAGCAACTCAGGGACAGACGGGCGAGGAGGAGGCTCGAGGAGGGAGAGATCTGGCCAGGGAAGCTCAGGGTGGGGCTCAGAGACGCACCACCATGACTCCCATTCAATCCTGAGCTGCTCAATTTGTTCGGCTGAGCCTAGGGGAACGTGATCGACCGTCGTGTCGTCAGGCGCCCATCCTGTAGGCACCTTGGAGAAACTGAAAAGGGCAGAGGCACCCTGCTCAGTGCTGTGCTTTCGAACCCAATCCTCCCATCCCCGCTGCTTGGCTCGCTGGCTGGTTCGAACAGCGAGCTCAGCTTGCTGCTGGGCGAGCGTTTTTAAAATTTGCAGGTGGGGTGCGGGGAGAGGGAGGCTATGGAGGACGAGTCTGGCAACATTGATCGCTAGCTGGCACTGGCGCGGCAACGAACAGGCTCGGCAATGTCTAGTGAGACGGCGCCTACGAGCCACAGCATCCCAGCCGCCCTGCAAGTTGCCGTAGCCCAGCAGCGCGTGTGCCAACCCTCGCCACCAGGTGGCCTCAGCATTGATATGCGGAAAGGGTACCGAACATGGTCGCGGAGGTCGAAGAGTCCTCAGACGAGGTGTTCTTCCGCGCCCTCGATAGTACTCGGCCTGTCGCGGCTCCACATCGAACACATTCAACCATTATTCTTCCGCAGCCTCGACGAACGCGGCCCAGGCGGTGTCAACATTGACGTCGGGCTGACGCATGCTGTCTGCGAGCCGCTCCCAGTCGGGTTCCTCAAAATCCCTGCAGCAGCCAATAGGAACTTGGACTGGAAACTTACGCGGCTGCTGAACCATACGAACTTCTGGGGGCCGACGTGGTACCTGAAGCCGAACCTGAACTGCACGATGCGGGGTGATCGCGATATGCTCCAGAACTGTCAGCTGCGTTCCTGCCGCTAGAAAAGGCGACATCACGAAATAGTCGATGACGCGCTCCGACGGCCTGACCGTGCCCAGCTTGGGGGCTACCACGACGCCACCAATGCCTGCCACCCAGCCACTCTCCATGAGCTCCTCGGGCGTGACTTGCCAGTCCGCACTGAGGATGAACGGAAAACCTGAGCTCTTAACGGCTTTGCCCATGTCGCAGAGGATGCGCCAGTTCCTCTCACTGAGGTCTTCAGAGTCGTGCAGGTACATGGTACCAACAAGCAAACCTCCTTTCGGGCCATGGCTCAGATGCAGGAGTGAGGCTCTGGCTGGACACACGCAATGCGAGAGGCCTTCTAGCTGGCTGAGCCCATAGCGAACAGGCGTGGCAATCATGGTGCCACCTGACAAACCCGCCAGGCTGTCTGAGGCGCCATCAGCGGCACCAGCGCGGACGGCAGGATTGATGGCAGCATTCCAGCCTGTCTTGCGCAAGGCCTGCTCCTGCGCATCACGCTGGTGCTGCGGCACCTTGTGTTCTTGCACAAAAGCCAAATCATAATCATACCATTCTTCAGATTGCCTGAGCAGCTCAAGCCCAGGCATGCTCGTGACATGTGCCGTGAGAACTGTGAATGGGCGGCACTGCGGGCTACCCCAACTGCGGTGGGACGTAGTAGGTGGATCGCATCTTCTTGAGCGCCTGGCCGAACAGCTCGATGGCACGCTGCTTGATGACCCGCTTGGCTCCCTCGTCGAGATCCATGTCATCTTCCTCGCCGACTGCGCTGGCACAAGCCTCGAGCAGCTTCTGCTCGTTGCGGGCTGCCCATGCACGGGCACGCTCATCAGGGTCAGCGCCTCCTCCACCTCCTCCTCCTCCTCCTCCACCTCCTCCTCCTCCTCCTCCGCCTCCTCTCCTCCTCCTCCTCCTCCCCCTCCCCTTCTCCTCCTCCTCCTCCTCCTCTCTCCTCATCCGCCTCCTCCTCCTCCTCCTCCTCCTCCTCCTCCTCTCCTCCTCCCTCCTCCTCCTCCTCCTCCTCCTCCTCCTCCTCCCCCTCCTCCTCCTCCGCCTCCTCCTCCTCCTCCGCCCCTCGCCACCCTCTCTCTCTCTCCTCGTTCCCCGTTCTCCCTTCCGGGCGCGGGTCCTTCTTCAGCCGGAGCTCCTCCTGGCGGGGCGGCCCGGGGGACGGGGCACGAGATCCGGGCGCAGAGGTCGGCCGGGGGCGGGGCAGCCTCATCCCCAAGGAGGACGAGGGGGAGGACGAGGAGGAGGAGAAGGAGGACGAGAAGGAGGAGGGAGAGAGAGGGATCAAAGGAGAAGGAGGGAGGAGGAGGAAGGAGGAGAAGGAGGAGAAGGAGAAGGAGGAGGAAGTCCTGGGAAGTCTTCGTAAGAACGATGAAAGGTTACTAAGCCCGTTCAACGGGGCTGTGGGCTGGGCAAGCCTGGATTGACTGAGCGTAGGATCAGGCTGGGCGAACCGGGATGAAACGGCATCAAGCAGAACTAAGCGGGACTGTGCCGGTCAGGCCTTACCTCGGCCACGGAAATACCAGCGCCGATGCTGCACTTGACAACCCAGGAGTTGCATCCCACAGGTGGGGAGGAAGCTGACGGTGAGCACGAAAAGGAGGGAGGAGAAGGAGGAGGAGGAGGAGGAGGAGGAGGAGAAGGAGAAGAAAAAAAAGGACGAGGAGGAGGAGGAGGAGGAGGAGGATCTGCGCGAAGTGTAGCGGCCGCGAGGCGCGAAGGCGGCACGATCTCGACGTGTCCGGCGTCTCCACTCTCGAAGACACACCGGCGGCCCCACCTAAGACGAAGCCAAGACGAGGTTAACATCGGGCGAAGATGAATCCAAAACCTCTGAGATCTGGCGGCTCCGGAAGATGTCTCGGGCGCCGCGACCTCCTCATGTTCCCGAACTCTCTCACAGCGTTCGCCCCCAGAAGTCCAGACCCCTCCCCCGGCACCGGGTCTTCACCCCGAGTCGTTTTTCGACGGTCCCGAGGCCCGGCGAGGGCCCCCCGAGGCCGAAACTGACCAAAAACCTCCCGTCCTGATTGTGCTACGACGCAATCCTGTCTGGGGCCCCCGCCCGACGAGTGGCCCCCGGCAGAGCGGCCGCGCTCGAGGCGGCCCAGGCGGAGCCGGCGGGCCCCCGCGCCGACCCCGAGGCGTGCTGTGTGCCGTGCCAGCGCAGACAATGTGTGTTGCCACTCGTGCACCTGCTGCGTTCGCATGCCGCTGCCACCTTTCAGGGGGGCGTAAGACCCGGGTACAGGGGACTCGGAAATCCCCGACGAGGTCGTCAAAAAAATGGCGAGGCCGAGCCTGCATTTCGACGAGGCCTCCCGCTGCAAACATCCCACGAAACTCCTACTCGTCAAAATCCGAGTCGCGGTCGTCAAAAAACGATGGCGAACCCGAGTCCTGGCAAACCCGGGTCTTACGCTCCCCCGAACCTTCACTCGAGTCCTCACGAGCCCCAGAAGGGGGCAAGACAGTGACGCGAGCACTGTCGAAGAGACGGGCTGGAGAGCGCCATAGAATTCAGGGCACTCGACAAGAGTTGCGGGTTGTCCCTTTTGGAGCTCTGCTGGCTACGAAACAACTCCTGGAAGACCTTCGCAAGAGCGACTGAATGCTATTGATCCCGATTAGCCGGATGAAGCCAAGTAAGCCCAGGATCAAGATGGATTGAGCGGTTGTCTGCGAGGTCAAGAGGGACTAAGCGGAAGGAAGCCGGAGTAGGCCAGTTGCTGCCCACGGATACACCAACCGCCGATGCTGAATTGAACCACCCAGGCGTTGCATCACCATTTTCGAGCCGCGTCCAACTGCGGCGACGGCGGGGCTCTTTTTCCCCCCTTTCTGGCCGGAGTCAATGCTGAGCCATCTTGGCCCCTCAGCCAGCTCCAGCCACAAACCCTCCAGACCCTGAGATCCAACGAGGCGAAACAAGTACAACATCGCCAAAAATCAAGACTGGCGCACTCGATCTGCGAGGGCCCCCGGGATCGAAACCGGGCGGAAACGCCCATCCCGAAAATAAACTGACGCCAGGATATCTCAAGGGAGGTCAACGGATGCCTCTCTCCTTTATT